CAGCGGCCCCTTCCCGCCGCGGCCGGGCTCCCCTGGGCGGGGCGCACCTCCCCAAGTCCCGCAAGGGTTAAGGCGCCGGGCAGAGAGGCCTGGGGCTGACGTCGGCGGAGCGCTCTCGCCGACGGTGGTTCCCTCGAGGAGGGTGCGAGCGCCGGGCGCTGAAACCCGAGCTCCCGCGCAGCTGGGCTTGGGGAGGTCCCTGGAAGGGCCGCCTGCCCGCCGGCCTCCCGTCCCTCCCCGCAGTCACTCGGGGCTCTGGCCACAGAGGAAGATGGAGCTGGGCTGGTGGATGCAGCTGGGGCTCACTTTCCTGCAGCTCCTGCTCATCGCACCCTTGCCAAGAGGTACCGTGAGTAGCCTTCAGGGCCCCCCAGGAGCCGGGCATCTTTCTTCTGGGGTCTGGTGGGGAGTGGGACTGGGGAGCCCCAAGAGTTGGTGCTGGGGATGGGCTGTGGGGCTGCTTCTAGTCCCGTTCCTGAGGGCTCGGCTGGTGGTGCTGGAGCGCCTGCCTCCCTCCCTGAGAATGACTTGGTTTTGTCACCCCAACCTGTGGGACTGAAACTGCCTTAGGAAGGGGTACCAGCTCCAGTTTTATTCATTTATTTTATTTTGTTTTAACTTTTTAAGGCATAAAATGACCTCCAGGAATCTGTCCAGCCTGAGTTACCCACTCTGATTTGCAAATGCTAAGTTTCCCCTAGAAAGAGCCCCCTCGGAGGTGAGCGGGGAGGAGAGAAATGAATCGCAGGCAGGGCCTGCAGCAAGGGCGTCCCTGCCGGTGTCTTGCTTGGTGAGATGTTACTGTCACATCCCTTCAGAACAGATCCCTGCCTGGGAGAGCTCCTCAGTCAGCATATGTATTTCCTTCCCGATGAAAGTGAGAAAGGAGAAGAAAAAGCTGAGGGTAAAAGTGCAAGTTGTTTCTGGGGATGCACAGTGTTTGTTTAGAAAGAGCTCTGGCTTCTCTGTTTTTCACATGTCATTTTCTGAGCCGCAAACCCATGTCAACCGGGCTCCCGGGGCAAGTGCGGCTGAAACCAGATACCGAGCTTTTGGGAGCCTCTGAAGCTGGAGGTAGAAGCAAGGGACTGGCAGGCAGGGAAAGGGAGACTTCTTAGGAGCATCTGTCCTTATTATGGCTCTAGGGGAGAGGTGTCAGGAGGTAAGGTGACATCTCTGGGGTAAGGCAGATTGCATGTGCAGATGTAATAAAACAAAGCAGCCTTGCATAGGAGCAGGGAGTGTGAGCTTTTGCTGCTTCCCTTCTGTGCTGGTCACCCGTCATCTGTGCTGTTACCTGTCACCTGGGCTCTACCTGAGAGGTGGGTGCTCCGTTGCTGCAAGTAGCTGGCAAGTTTCCCGAGAGTGAACATAAAGTCAAGATTCATGACAGAAGCCCCATTTTGGTCAATACGTCCCACTGCCTATAGCTTGCTAGCCATAGGTGAAATCTTTCTTGGTGATTTGTTCTCAAGCTGGAGAGAGGGTTTCATATGAATTTTGTCTCATCTGGAGCAGCCCCAAAGATCATAATGAAGAAGGAAGGTGCCCGATAACCCATAAAGCCAGAAAGTTGCCCAGCGGTCAGGTGACGACTTTGCATGAAGACTGCTTGCTGCTCCATCTCTGCCTTTTGGAGCAGAACCTCCAGGCTTGGTGGCCCCAGGCCAACTCTTGGGCCAACTCCAGAAGAGCCTGGCTCCTTTCAGAGCACCAGGGCCCAGAGGACCAGTTTCCTCACGGCTCCATCAACACTCCCCTGCTGCTTTTTTTATAATGTGGCAGGTGAGGCGTCTCAGACCCATAAAACTTAAAAAAAAAACAACCCAGAGCTCAGCTACCCCTTTTTTCTTGCTCAGGATCTGAAAAATCCATTTGTTCCTGACCTGAGAATCTTTTACCTTCTGCTGTGGAAAAGCTTCAGGGAGGGTGCGTGGATTCCTGGCAGCCAAGCTGTGGGCTGAACCGCAGAGCAACTTCGCGTGTCCAGTGAGGATAGCTCAGCTGTTGAGCGGTCACATGTAGAGGGAAGGCGGAGGGATGGTGTGGAGAAGGCAAATATTTCTTTAAGTAGTGAATGAGTCCACTCCCTGCTGGAATCTAAATCTGGCCCCGGCAAGAGAAGCCTGGGAGCGCATCTCCTCTAATTGCTTTTTTAAAATGAGTGCTTGATGAAACGCAAGCATCCACTGGAAGGCACAGGAGATGTTGTTGCTCATCGGCATGGGACGCATGTTGGAGGATGTGAAGCCAAACATCAGGCCAAGTGATAACCCAACATAAATAGCATGTGAGAGAGAAACCCAACTCCACTGACTTCACCAAAGAGCAGCAGCTCTGCCAGCAGGATTCTGCCCAAGAGGAAAAACTCATTTAAAATATGTGACTCTTGGGAATGAAACCTTAATACGGATAACTCCACAAGTGTGGCTTCCAACAGACATTAGCGTGTGGAGGGGACCAACATAAAGGCAACGGGGGAAGGTAATTTGAAGCACAGCTATTCCGTGGGCAGGAGAAGGAGCTGAGAAAGAGGATGTGGAAAGAAGGCAGGGGGGAAGGAGTGGCAAGAAAAATTAGATGTTGGTTTCTAATGAGATGTGTTAGCAAATTCCAGGGAGAGAGCTATGAAAATTGGGCCTTCTTGGCAAGGGTGGATTTTTGTGGGGACCATCGAGAGGGTGTTTCCCTGATATATACTCTGAAAACTCCTGGCTTCTCCCCAACAGGAAAATAATTTAATGGTGGGATCATGGAGTTTGGGAGCTGGGAGTGACTTTAGAGATCATTTAGTTTGAGCACTTTGTTTTTTCTTAGAGAATTTTTATGACTTTATCTTCAGATTCAGAGGACAGTGAAATTCACCTATACGGGTTTATGATGTGTCCTGCCTTTGAGCCAAATGCTTTACATGCAGCCATTCTCGGTCCAGCCCACTAAGGTAGTGCTGTTGCTCTCCCTGTTTCACAGATGACGTTTAGAGGGGTCCTGTGACCTGCTCAGGGATACACGGGCATAGTTCCTCGAGAGATTAAACATTTGACCCAGCAATGTCACTTCTGAGTGTATACACAAAAGGAGCAAAAGCAGAGACTTGAACAAGATATTCATACACCAGTGTCCAGAGCAGCATCATTGCCAATAGCCAAAAGGTGACAACCCAAAATGCCCATCCACAGACAAAGAAAACATGGTGTATACATACAATGGAATATTATGCAGTCCTAAAAATGAATGACATTCTGACACATGCTATGACATGGATGAACCTTAAAGACATTATGCTAAGTCAAATAAGCCAGACAAATACTGTATGATTCCATTTATGTGAGGCACCTAGAGTGGTCATATTCATTGAGAGTAAGTAGAACAGTGGCTGGGGGAGGAGGGGTGAAGAGTTACCATTTAATGGGCACTGGGTTTCTGTATGGGATCATGAAAAAGACCTGGAGATGGATGGTGGTGATGGTTGCACAAGTCACTGAACTGCATGCTTAAGAGTTATTGAAATGGCAAATTTTATGTTATTTATATCTTCCCACAATAATAATATAAAAATAATACACAGCAGATTAGTGGAGCCTGGGGTGAGCCCAGACTGTCCTGAGCTCCAGCTCACCTGGTACCTGGCTGACTTTAGCTTACTCCTCTAAAGGATCAATTCATGATGCTGATGCCCATCTAATCTCGGCAAGGCTTTAGGACACACATGGGGTGGGAGGGGAGAGTCCTTAGTAGCTCCGGTTTTGGTGGTACCGTTGCTAGGTCTTGCCTGGCTGTGTGGCAGGAGACACTGTGGAGCTAAAGGTCTGCTAATGGGCAGCCTTTGGCCCAAAAGGCCTAAAGAGATATGGAGTAAGACACAGTGCTTGCAAATGTTTTGAACCTGAATGCTTTGAGGCAGGCCAGGTCCTCTCTATGGCTTGACACCCCAGCTTCTCAACCCATCCATGTGTTACCGTCTAGTCTCTACTGACATTTGAGGTCTTGACCTCCATTCCTGAGAGGGACAGAGCAGAAAGGAAGGGTGAAAGAGGGAAGCTAGGTGCTGAATGGGGAGAAATACAAGTGAGTAAAGCCCTTAAGGATTGAGTATCTGACAGGACTTTTAAAAGTAGGAACATGAGTATATTTTATGTGTATGTGTTATAGAACATGATCGCACCTCTATCACCTTCAAACTCTTTGGTAAAATATTTTACTCTCATGAATGCCCTTGGGAGTGAGCTTTTGGTGGAAACTGAGAACGGGCTGGGTGTTATGTCTGGGTCTATAAGCTACGGACAAAGCACCCTTGGACATGGTTGCTTAGAAGCAGAGGTTACCTAGAGCATTTAAGTCCCTTGGAAATATCCAGAACTCTTAGGAGTGCATTGGAGTGCCATTGGCATGGACTGCGGATTTGACTTGAGCTTATTTACATCTGGCTAGACAGAAATGGCAGAGATAATGATGTCTGGGGGACCTAGTGACTGGCCTTACATCAGAAAATTATTTCCATCTGCCCCACTGGGGGCAGCCAATCCTGATGCAGGAGAAAATTTGTCTACCTGGCTTCCCCGAGACCAGCTCTTGAAGCTGCATTTGATTTGGGGTAAGTACAAATTGGGAAAGTTCCATTTCGGTGACAAATGAGGGTAGGTTGTGACCATTCCCCCCACATGGGGGAGGACCTGTCACCCTCACTTTGTGGATATTTGAAAGTCACAAGAGCCCAGATCCCTCTTCTCTTATTTTATTTTAAAGGATAGGGAAATGCAGTGTTTACAATGTCCAGTTCCTGAATTCCAGGGCAGAGGACTCAGAGACCAGCCAGAGCTCTGAAAGCTACCAGAGCAGAGGCAGAAAGTCTATCAGGTTCCAAGCCTGGTTTATGTTTCAGGAATTCTGTTTGTCAGTCATCACATGTTCTAGGACAAAGCATTAGGTTTATGATGGAGACAAAGGAGTAAAAATGGAGGAAAAACCAAACCTTGTACCTGTAAACAAAACCACTCAAGGAAGGCAGAGAGTTGGCTAGAGAAGCTCCACTCAGTCTATGGGACCTACTCCTCTTTCTTACTCAACCCTACTCCTTTCATTTTCCCTGATTGCCATTATCAGTAAGACAGGTGTGGATCCCGTGTATGTTGAGAGGAGAGTAGGAAGGGGTAGGTGGTAGGTTGAGATTGGAGTACAAAAAGGTAGGTGGTAGATTGAGAGTGGAGTAGGAAGGGGTAGGAGGTAGGTTGAGAGTGGAGTAGGAAGGGGTAGGTAGTAGGTTGAGAGTGGAGTAGGAAGGGGTAGGAGGTAGGTTGGGATTGGAGTATGAAAGGGTAGGTGGTAGATTGAGAGCAGAGTAGGAAGGGGTAGGAGGTAGGTTGAGAGTGGAGTAGGAAGGGGTAGGTGGTAGGTTGAGAGTAGAGTAGGAAGGGGTAGGAGGTAGGTTGGGATTGGAGTATGAAAGCGTAGGTGGTAGATTGAGAGCAGAGTAGGAAGGGGTAGGAGGTAGGTTGAGAGTGGAGTAGGAAGGGGTAGGAGGTAGGTTGAGAGTGGAGTAGGTAGGTTGAGAGCAGAGTAGGAAGGGGTAGGAGGTAGGTTGAGAGTGGAGTAGGGAGGGGTAGGAGGTAGGTTGAGAGTTGAGTAGGAAGGGGTAGGAGATAGGTTGAGAGTGGAGTAGGAAGGGGTAGGAGGTAGGTTGAGAGTGGGGTAGGAAGGGGTAGGAGGTAGGCTGAGAGTGGGGTAGGAAAGGGTAGGAGGTAGGTTGAGAGTGGGGTAGGAAGGGGTTGCACATCAAATTCTTCACCCTTGATGATGGAAACATCAATGATGAAGCCTCATTGGAGGGGGCTCCCATCCTATCATAGCTAAGGGACCTGATCTGAAATAATTTAATGGGTTTGTGGTAAATACCAGGCCTTCTTCTCTATGCTTTATATGTATTTGTTTAATCCTCACAATAAACCTAGGAGGTAAGTGGTAGTGTTACGATTCCCAGTTTACACGTGCAGAACTTAGGCAGGGCGAGGTTCAGTGCTTGCCCAGGCCACATAGCGGAGTTTCATGTCTTGAACCCAGACAGTCTGACTCCATAGTTGATGCCCCGAAACACTACACAACACTCACACAGTAAGCAGTGGGTCCAACTAGAATAGATCTATTGGCTGTGTTTTGCCCAAATCGTGAGACCATGGTGTTAGTAAAGAAATCCCGTTATCCCTTGGATATTCCAAGTGGTCAAAATGGCCCAAGTAAGGTCATGTGCTCACTGGAAGCAGAGTGGATGTGGGAGAAAGGAGAGAGACATCAACACCCCAAGGTCACAGAGAGAGGTATCCACTCATGGAACCCAAGAGGAGCCACTCCCTAAAGGAAACAGGCGGTAAGCAGACCAAATATCCAAACAGTTGTGCACAGGCTCATGCGTCTCACTCTGATTAGATGTGGGAGGTAAGAATTTCTTTGTCCCATGGTCAACTTTAAAAATCAAAATCATGTGTCTACTTGCTGAGCATCAGAATTAAGGATGAGACATGTTTCTAATCTGCTCCTTTATGGGTTTATTCTGCTAAGAGCATCAATGTGCAAGCTCTTAGGCTGTGGAATGGGAGGAGAAGGCCTGGAATCAGTAAGGGGAAGCATTTTTTTCTTCTTTTTTCACATAACACAGTTGATGGATATTGCAGGGGATGGAGATATGATCCCTTTCCATTAATACTAAGATGGGTTTAACCAGTTCATTTCAACTTCTACTAGACACTGATGTTCAGGGTCTTATGTCAAGGGGTTAAGAGAAGTGCCCCCCACCCCCCTGATTGGCTGAGCAGCAATGAAGACACCTATTCCTGTCATCCTTATGCCTCTGGAGTTGGGAAAAATGCCCTTACTCCTGCATGTGGGCATCTTTACCACCACTCTCCCTGAGGTTCTGGCTGTCTCAGAGGGTCGAGTTAGTGGTTTGGCAGCAGGTATTTGTGCAAGTAGAAGTCTGGTCATTTGGTTTGGTGATTGGAAAACCAGGGCTGCTGCCACCAGAACAGAGTGAGGTCCACATTCAGACAACTTTAGTTTATGGGGAGGCGCAGCATGTGTCCTCATAAGTTGAATTCATGATGTTAAAAGATTTCCAGCCAGTTTAATGGAAAACCACTGGATGGAAGGGGGATATGGGCCCATTCACTTCAAATCAAGTGAATTATCTGAGGACTCCAAGGAACTAAAATATCAGTGTTTTTCAAACCCAGTTCCATGCCCATTTACTTCATAGGGTTCCTTTGAAGATGATCAGTTAATGCCCCATATCATGGGATCCCACCTTAGGAGCCAACAGTGATGGTGGAGAACATCTGAGATGTCTAGGGCAATTCCCTGAGCTTAGCTTCTATATTAAATAATTTTAGTAATTAGTTTATGTGTGCCATGAGATGAAAAAGGTTGAAAATTGTTGTTATACCATCAGTGGAATTAGGGCCCCATGGAATATAGTTTGGAAAACTCTGGTCTCT